ATCCCTTTACTTTTAGTCTGTGTATGTCTTTGGGTTTGAAGTGAATCTCTGGTAGGCAGCATATAGATGGGTCTTGTTTTTATTCATTCAGTGACTCTGTGTCTTTTGATTGGTGCATTCAGACCATTTACATTTAGGGTGATTATCAATAGGTGTGTACTTATTGCCACTGCAGGCTTTAGATTCGTAGTTACCAAAGGTTCAAGGGTAATTTCCTTAGTATCTAACAGTTTAACTTAACTCAATTCATGTGCTATTACAAATGCAACCTAAAGTTTCTTTTTTTTCCCTCCTTTTTCTTTTTCTTCCTCCTCCATTTTTTGTATGTTATGAATCATATTCTGTACTCTTTATCTATCCCTTGTGTGACGTCTATTTAGCCTTAGGAACACTTCCATCTGTAGGAGTCCCTCCAGAATGCACTGTAGAGGTGGTTTGTGGGAGATAAATTCTCTCAGCTTTTGTTTATCTGAAAATTGTTTAGTCCCTCCTTCAAATTTAAATGATAACCTTGCTGGGTAGAGTATTCTTGGTTCCAGGCCCTTCTGCTTCATCACGTTAAATACATCATGCCCCTCCATTCTGGCCTGTAAGGTTTCTGCTGAGAAGTCTGAAATAGCCTGATGGGCTTTCCTTTGTATGTGATCTTTTTTCTCTCTCTGGCTGCTTTTAAAAGTCTGTCTTTATCCTTGATCTTTGTCATTTTAATTATTATATGTCTTGATTTTGTCTTCCTTGGTCCCTCGTGTTGGAAAATCTGTGCACCTCCATGGCCTGAGAGACTATCTCCTTCCTGAGATTGGGGAATTTTACAGTAATTACCTCCTCAATGATGCTTTCTATCCCTTTTTTTCTCTTTTCTTCTTCTGGTACCCCTATAATGCGAACATTGTTCTGTTTGAATGGTTACACAGTTCTCTCAATATTCTTTCATTCTTAGAGATCCTTTTTTCTCTCTGTACCTCAGCTTCTTTGTATTCCTCTTCTCTAATTTTTATTCCATTTACCGTCTCTCCTACTACATCTAATCTGCTTTTAAATCCCTCCATTGTATGTTTCATTTTGGATATGGAATTTCTTAATGATTGAATCTCCATCTTAAATTCATTCCTGAGTTCTTGAATATTTTTCTGTGCCTCCATAAGCATGTTTATGAATTTTATTTTGAACTCTCTTTCAGGAAGATTGGTGAGTTCAGTTTCCTTTGGCCCTGTTTTGGGGTTTGTGAGATTTTGGTTTGTGAGATGTTGTTTTGACGTTTCATATTTCTGTGTGGTGCCCTCTAGTGCCCAGAGGCTCCAGTCTCTGGAGCTGCTCAGCCCCTGGAGGGAGGTTGGGGGTCGCAGGGGAGGGAGGTTGGGGGTCGCAGGGGAGCGGAGCTGGTGCCTGGGGGAGGAGAGAGCTGTTTCCCGGTTCCCGGCTGCGGTGCCGTCTCCGGTGCCGGAGCCCGTGGGCCGAGCACCCAGGTGTGAGCCTCTGTGCTCCGCGTCTCCAGCTGTCGTGGGCGGGGCCTGACGCCAGCGCCGTGACTGCAGGTGTGCGAGCCGGTGCGGCGGGTAGGAGGGAGGCTCGGCAGGCTGCGGGTCACGGGGGGCCTCGGAGCTGAGCAGCGAGCCGGGGGATGCAGCGCCTGAGGCTCCCAACCAGCGGGGCAGGGGCGCCCGCACAAGCTCGTCCAGCCATCCCCTCTCCCAGGCAGCAGGCTCTGTGCAAACCCCGCGCCGTCAGCCCCCCTCTCGCTGCCGGGAAGCCTCTGGGAGCGTCTGCCTTCCGCTGACACCGAGCGGCCGGGTGGGGGTCCCCTCCTCCACAAACGGCCAGAATGTCAGTCTCTCAAGCGCTCCTCCTGTCCCAGCTCCCGAACCTCCAGAGCACCACACAGTGCAGGTTTCTGCTCGCAAAGCTGACCTCCAGGGCCTGGTGTCCAGCAGTCCCAGGCACCCACCGCCTCCCCGGCTCAGTTCTCCTCCTGCTGCCGGAGAGCTGGGGCGGGGGAGGGGCCTGGGTCCCACTCCGCGACGGCTCTGGTACGTCACCCTGTTCGTGAGGTCTGCATGCGGTCTGGTGCAGCCTTCTTTCCTGTTGCTGTTTTAGGGTTAGTTGTATTAATTAACTATATTTTTGTACTATTTGTGGTTTTGGGAGGTGTTCTGTGTCACCTCTCATGCCGCCATCTTGAATGTCCACCATTTCTTTTTCTTCCGGATTATCTTCTTTCTCTCCCCGATTCAAGGTCCTCAGTGCCTCTACTCCTCCCTTCTCCATCAGTGTCTCCCTTTTGAGTCTTTCCTTCTGAACTCCTCCTACCAATCCTCCATAGTCTTTGGGAGAGTTAAGCAATAAAACAAAACGAAGCTGGATTGCCAAGCATGTGTCTAGATCTTCCTTAGATATTGGGTGTCGTAAGTAAAACATTTCCGTTCTAAGGCACAGAAGCAGAGGTACACTTAGGTCTTGTGTTCTATTTTTAAACTCACACATGCTTCTCCTGGTGAGGTGATAATGTTTTCAGGCAAAGTAAAAGGCACTCTTTCTTTCCACGAAACCTGGCTAAATCTAGCACAGCATTGTGATGCAAGATTTCTTGAGCAAAAAATGGAGTGGATTTACCTGATGACTTTGTGCTTTGTGCGTTGTGTTTAAGTATTCTTTTTAGATACTAATGAATATACATGGACTGTTTTTAAAATACTAATTAAAACCATATAACAGGCATAGTCAGAGTTGCTTTTGTCATTTCAGAAACATGTTAGTATGTGCTTCCCCATAACTCAGATATATGTATTGATACTTATATTTTCTTCATCTCAAATGTGTGAATGTTTAGTAGGTCATGGTGCATCTTATGAATTATCTTTTTTAAATTATAATTTTCATATTTTATGAATTGAAACTAGCAGTAGTCTCATTTCTCAATGACATCTTATACTAGAGTATAGGTTTATTCCTCACACCATATTATGCTTTCACAATCTGGGGGTCGGTTTTCAGCTACAACTGATAAGTCTGCAGGTCGGTTGGAAACCAACACTTGGTAGTAACTGTGTTGAGTGGATAAAGAAAGTTGGGAGACTGGAAGACAGGTGATAAGACAGATTGAAGACAGGGATAGTCACGTCCTGGACAGCACGAGTGGGCACAGGCCCCATTTCCTCAAATCCTCCTGACATCCAGCAAAGGACCAGGGGAGGCACACATAAGTCATTTCCTACAGCCATCAGACCCATGGGGTCAGTTCCCAGAAGAGGAACTTCTGGATGAAAAAGCATGTCCCTTTGCGAGGTGGACCAATATTGCCAGGCTGGTGTCCCTAGAAGTCATCCAGATTTGTAGCTCCTGTGGTGGTATTTGAGGGTGTTTGTTTATTATCAATGTCTTGCATCCCTGCATTTGCTCATTTGTACATGCAAACCCACCGTTCACCAGGTCCTCTTCTAGGTACTTAGACATACCAGTGAGCACTTAACATTCCCAGAGGCATGTGGGAAAGGTGCTCAGGAGAGGTTTAATTTGCATTTCCCTTATTATGAGTGATTTTGTTTTGTTATTTGCTATCATTAATGTACAATTACATGAACATTATGGTCACTAGACTCCCCCTATTATCAAGTCCCCACCACATACCCCATTACCATCCCTGTCCATCAGCGTAGTAAGATGCTATAGAGTCACTACTTGTCTTCTCTGTGTTGTACTGCCTTTCCCGTGCCCCCCCCACTACATTATGTGTACTAATCATAATGCCTCTTATTCCCCTTGTCCCTCCCTTCCCACCCATCCTCCCCAGTCCCTTTCCCCCTTTGGCAACTGTCAGTCCATGCTTGGGTTCTGTGAGTCTGCTGCTGTTTTGTTCCTTCAGTTTTTGCTTTGTTCTTATACAAGTGATGTTTTAAGAACCATTTATATTTCCTTTTCTGCAAATAGTCCATATTATTTGCCTAGCTTTTCTTAATGATTAATGGAAAGTATATTTTTTAATTGCCCTTTTGCTATAAAATGAGTCACAAATATTTTTCCCAATTAAAGGGTTGTCTTTTTTTTTTTTTCCCCCTTGCTTATTTGGGATTTTTCTTTATGCAGTAAAATTTATCCTTCTATATTTGATGCAGGACTTCTCCAGAGTGGATTATGTAATGAAAAAGAAAAAATAGCTATGTATGGAAGGCTTTCCCATGATCATTAGACCCACAAATATTGATGGAGATGAAGGCCTTAGTGGTAATTTAAAATACATACTTTGAGAACTGTGGGATAGACTACGGCCAACAACTGGTTACCTATGGAATATTCATTCCCACTTCTTCCTTAAAGACAGACCCAAGTTTTGTTCAGCATGGTTCTGTTCCCAGCTGAAAAGCTACATTTTCCAGGACCCCTTAGAGCTAGAGATGGTCCTGTAACACACTTTTTGGGTCAAAGAACTGTAAGTCACTGAGCTTAGTTCTGAAAAAGCTCTTACAATGGGGTTGACTGAGTAAGGGTTTGCTTCTGTCTTTCTTTTTTTTCCCCATTCTGTCTGGAATGTGGATGTGATGCTAGAGAAGGAGCAGCTGTATTGCAACCACAAGGCAGAAACAATAGCCACAGAATGACAATAAAAGCCACATGTCACTGCAACTGAACACGTATTGCCTCCTTGGTGAAGCCCCTCAGAACTGTTTTTCCTCTGTTGGCCCTGAGCCCCCCATGTCAGAGTGTGGGAATTGGATTAGATAGTTAATGATGATTAAGGCAATGGGTATGTGCAGGAGCAGAGGAAAAGCAGGTTAGGCAAGAGTAATGATGATACCTTAGCTTAGGTGTAAGTCACGGTCACAGGACTTCCCCTAAAGAGCTACAGAAGCCTTGACCTAATGCCCTTGAGGTGTTTGATAAGAGCTGAGACCTCCCACGCACACCAAATGGGCTCCATGCTGTCTTGCCAATTGGTCTCAGCCCTGGGCAAGCTCACTATGGATTCAGTGTGACCAAAGAAAGGACAGTAGGACGTTCTTGGGGTGAAAGGGTCATACCCAACTTTATTTCCACGATGGCAGGTCAGTCACTAAAATCCTGTTCACTCAGAGCAAGTCTGCACGCAGCAAGCTGGTCTCTGCCTCTGGGCCCCTCTACCTGCAGAGCTGTCCTCTTGCCCTCTGTCCTCGGTGCTGCCACCACTCCAGCCTCTGCTCTGCTCTCCTGCAGCCTTGTAGCTGTGCCACCAAGTGGCACAGAGCACTGGGCAGGGTTCTTTATATAAAGTCAATGACAATGCATGGCTCAACACGTATGTAGTGAGCTTGCCATCCAGGGCCAGGTGAGATGGACCTTCATCCATTGCCCCTCAAGAATGAACAGCGGGACATAGAGGAGGAAAAATTGTCACCCAAGTCTGCTTATGAATAAGATAACAAAAGAACTAAAAGCTAAGAATTTTATCTGAAGCTGGGCTTGCTTATAGGAACCGAGCCAGGTCGGTGATAACCACCAGGAAGGCCAAACACAGAACCAGCTGGAATCAGGAAAACTGAAGAAGCTGGCTGAGCTTCACCTTTAACCTACTTCCAGCTCATTATACCTTCATTTTAATACTAAAATCCTCGCCCTGGGGAGAGAGGTGCCCCTTGCTAGGCACATTTCAGGCCAGCACAAAGAAGCCTGAAGGACTGCACACGCTCCAGCAGTTCCGGGACTCTGTCCTCTTCTTGAGGTTGAGATGGTGCTCCTACCACCCATGCCCCCTCACCCCTCAAGAAATCCTCACTTTCCTCCCTTCTGGAAGAAGGTGGCATTTGGAAAACTCACCCTTCTCTGTTCTTTGCCCAGAGACTGAAGTTTCTGCTCTGCTAAACTGAACCCAGTCTTGCGAGTAAATGATGCCAGGCAAAAGAACCCAAAATTTGGGTTGGTAACATTAAGATGGTCAATAAGAAATAAAGGGGTAACCTAGAGACCTGTTGGAATCGCAGGGCCTAGACAGCCTCCTTCTGGACTTTTTATTCCTTAAAAAAAAAAACAAAAAAAAACACCTCTTTGAGCTACTGTAAACAGTGTAAACAGATTTCAGTTGAACACAGTCAGTGCTAATCCTGAGACAGTAACATACGTTTAATTGGTCAAAAGCCAACATACCCACAGTGGCAGAAGCAATGCTACTCAGGCTGTTTTGACAAAGTCCAGGCCCGAGGAGGGCTCCTGCAAAGCAGGGGTCCTCACAGCTGGCTCTCTCTATTACCTGCCTTAACATTCTTGATAGCTGTAATAATACCGGCTATTTTCTTACCTGTATTCATACCCAGAGCTTAATTTTCCTTTGATAAGTTAACCATAACTGATGGGGACACTGATTTCCCAGCAGGTTTGCAGAATATTTCTAAGGAACATAATGGAACACAGAAAGAAAATGAGATGCAGAAAGAACAAAGTAAAAGGTTAATAATTACAGGAAAGCCTCAAGAATTATGCCCTCCGTTTTGTAATAGCACTAATGTGTGTAATGAGGAATTCTTTAAGAAAATCCAGCATAAGGAAATCATGGATCCAGGCTCTTGGAAAAGCCCCGATGCAAGAGGCTAATAAAGGCCTAGATAAAATAAATAGAGCTGTTCCCACTGTAGCAGGACCACATGGCCCCGCTTATCTCATAGGAGGAAGATTTTGGTATCTCCCTAGAGGAAGAAAATTCATGAGCAATATAGAGAAGTTTACTTTGTTACCCACAGTACCCTATGAAGGAGTATATGATGAAGATATGAATTTGTAATAGTGGATTGATTATAAGATGGTTTGACTTGGTTCTGTCTCATGGGAAAGGATTAAAAGAGGAAAGAAACCTTAGTGTCTTTGGACACGTCAAGCACATAAAGTGTGGACAGAAACGTGGAATAAATGGTACAGAAAAATTAAATGTATTTATTGTATTAGGCCTTTAGAAGATGAGAATTGTAATGTGAATTATTAGTCAGTGAACTTTGATTGAACTCTTGCACCTGTCCTTTTCCCATCATGTATTCTGGTGAACATGCTCTGCATAAAAATGAGATAGTGTCCAAAAATAATCATACTAAGAATTGCATGAATCAGGAAATAGAGATGTCAGCTGTCTGCAATTAAGGGTAGTCACCTGGAATATGAAAGAAAGGAAATAAGATTGTATCATCACTGATCAAAGGATAAATAAAGATTGTAATATTATTGATCAAAGGGTAAATGTCTGGAAATAATCATATAAATAAAACCACTACTGGCACACTCACTAGGAGCTGTGACTAGGAGATGATTCCAGCTTGACTCCATGTCTGACTCCTAATTTTCCCTCACTGTTTCGCTGACTCCGTCCTGCACCTTCGGGCATCCCACCCCTTGGCTAGAGCTGGACTCCGGCACCACAGCTTCAAAAGGACAGTTTCAGCTCAGTACTCTAACAACGCACCGAAAGCACCAAAAATTTCAGGTGCACCCCTATAAGTCCAGATTTGGCCTCTGATTTCTTCTTCACCAAGAGCAGTCAGGGGTCCTGAGGGGATTGGTCCATACCTACAAGCCAAGAAAACAAAGGAACCGTGTGGTTAAAACCAGGGCAGGTTCAAGGATATCAGCCAAGCTCAAGGTCTCCCTCTGATTGGTGGGATTGTTTGGTCATTTTAAAAGTAACTAATAATTATCGTGGCAGTTAATTGAGTTAACTGGAGTTGGTGAAAGGCCTTGAATTCATTATCCACTTAGAAAAGTTAATAAAGGAAACAGAAGTAGCTACAATAGGGTGACTAAATGTTTAATTCTCCATCTGCTTTAACAAATAGAGCATGTGTGTGCATGCACTTGTGTATGTGTTATAGATGCACTGGATTAGGGTTCACTTAGAGAAGCAGAACCACTACGAGATAAAAACTGTATGCATGATATACACCACTTGTTATGATTGGCCCTACACAATTGAACACAAACAATTCCTGCAGAATACTGTCTTTGCATCTAATGCTGGAGCAGAACAGGCAGTTGGGAAGGGAAGATGGATGCAAAGTGGGGAGAGCTAAGACAAGCTGGGACCTGTGGTCATGAGCTGGAGCCTATGAGGATGGACCAAAAACCCTTTGTTTTCTGTGATGATGTAGGTGTCCTGCAGGAGAAATGGGAACCCTTTGTCGGGGTGCTAAATATAATCAGGAATCAGTGAAGCTGAAGGATCTAGAGGAAGGTGTAGTCGTGGGTCTATAGCTCTCTCCTGCTACCCAGCGAACCAGGGTGTGAGGTCACAACTTGTGGGAGTAGCAGTGTCACCTGCCCAGACCTTTCATGGCATTCCCCACCTCTGGACACACTTTGTGATTAACACTGATTCTGGGTATGGCCTGCTTTCCCCATTCGCATGTAAAGTCCACGAGAACAAGGATTTGTTAGCAATGTTTCTTGTCTTGTTCGCTGATGTTGCCCCAGCATTTAGAACAGCGACTAGCACAAGAGGCACTCAATAAATACCATGCTTTTGTTGAAGCAGAGTGGCAAGGTGGTGGCAGAGCTACACACAAAGATGTTCTGGAGAAGAATGCTAGTTGTTGAATTGCTAGAAAAACTATCACAATAGTACTGCATCTAAGAGAGGTATACAGCGTGAAACTAAGAAAAGGTAAAAACCTCACTAAAATGGGACCAGGAGACCAGCAAGGGAAGCTGTCCCGCCCTCAATACCGAATTATTTGCATTTCCAACAGGTAAAGCCTATTCCTCCGCAACAGTCCGGCCAATGAGAGGCTGCCATAATCAGCCAGCGAGCAACCACACGTGTGGGACTCCCGGCTTCCGCAAATGGGCGTTTTTCTTACAAAAGCCCCCTCAACGCTTTTTTTTTCTTCTGTACAGGAGCCGCCTCTGCTGTTTTCAGGATTTGCCTGTGGTTTTGTGTAAATGTGTTCCTGAATAAACCCACTTTTGTGCTGGTAAAATAACTGGCAGTCTCATTTTTAAATTAACAACAGGTATTCATTGCATTATTCTTTCAACCTTTATGAATGAACATTTGCAAAATAAAATGTGTAGGGTAAAAAAGAAAACTGGTGTGCTGAGGTCGTAAAAGCATCCGTTCTCTGTGGGGACCAACGTTGCTGGGGCAGGACTCACTCGTTGTTGAAAGCTACACTGAAGCATATTAAATTTTAATTAAGTTTGACCCAAAATGGCCTGGAATTTAGGTAGTGCCAAACTGAAAGTGGTTATGGGCACTGTGCCAACAGGCGCAAGGGGATAGGTTTTTAAAGAGAAGACAGAAGCAAAGCAAGGAACTCGTTTGGTTGGCTATAGCTTAAAAAGTTGCCTTATTTGGAAAGCTTAGATACAGTTTGCTTAGCTACCAAGGCATTAGAGCCACCCTTACCTAACTCCTCCTTGTTTAATTACTTCAACCTGTCAACTGGCAAAACCATCGGACCGGTCCAATAATGGGGCCAAACTCAGACGACTTTGGTCCTGAGCTTCAGGAGCCGAGGGGACCCTGCTACACTCGGGTGTGCGTGGCAGACGGAGCTCTCGGTGGGAAGCTGAGCTCACTCTCCACAAAGTGGGAACTTCTGCCCCACACGGGTAAGAGGACACTCGTGGAAGCACCCACTTGCGGGCTGAATTATTGCCACCTCCTCCCCACTGCCTGCCCTCCTCAGGCCTCCCGATCATACATAACCTCTTCTCCACCACCACGGACAGGGCACCGGCTCCGCCGCACGCCTTCCCCGACGCCTCTGGGCCGTCCTGTCCTTCCCGTCTTGAACTCTTCTTGAGAGCCTCGGAGCCCCAGGCCACACGCGCCAGACGGAAGGGCAATGGCCCGTCCTTGGGGAGGCAGGGGCTGTGTATCAGGAGACGGGAGACTGCCAGCTCTTCCTCCAGCTCCCAATCGCTTCTTCAAGTCGCCGAACCATACTCCTCGGGTACTCCAGTCCTGGCTGCCTAAGTCTCCCCCCGGGCTGGGGGTCTGCGCCGCCCATGGCCTTCCTAGGCGCGCGGCTTAAACCCGCCCCTGGAGTCCGTAAACAGCAGAGCAGGTGGAGGAACAAGCGGTCACCATCACGCGGGCAACCACCGCCAGGCCCTTGCCCGGTCTGGGGCACAACAACGAGAAGCCACGCCTCGGAGGGGGTGGCACCCACTGAAGCAAGGAAGGGACCCGCCGGGGCAGAGCCCCGCAGCCCGGAGCGACAGGGACGGGAGAAGCCACCACGCTGAGGCTCCAGGTCTGCACCGAAAGATTCCGCAGGGCTGCCGGAAGTGCGGCCTGTTGAAGCCGGGGACGCGGTTTGGCCTCTCTAGGCGCGGCGGAGGCCTCAGCTCTCGTTGGCCTTCGAGTGCGCAGCACAATCGTCAGTCAGAAGAAAAGGCAGGGCAGGGGAAGCGGGGCCGACAGCCAGACTGGGAGGTGTCGCACTCTAGGACTGGTGGCCAGCGGTGTGGGCGTTGCAAAAGGAGGCGTGGCCCACAGTGATTGGCGGATGCCCAGACCGGGCGGGGCGTCCTCTTTGTCTGAGTGCGCTGCGGGCGGCCGCCCCTTTGTGCGTGAGGCTGCGGCGTGGAAAGTGAGTAGGGGATTTGGGTGGCTCCCCGTCAGCAGGGATTCTTTCCACTCGCGGAAGCCGGAGTCGGCGTGTCCTCCACACTGACCGCGAGCTTCCCCGAGGACAGGCTCTATACCTTCCCCGGACCTCACTCCTAGCTCCCGCCCCCCAACCTTTTGCCATACCCCGTGCGCCCTTCTCCTGATACACCCCGACTCCGGACCCCCTCCCGGTAACCCCCGGGGCCCCAGCCACTTCCTCGGCCTCCCATCACGTCTCTGGTCCCCGGGCCCCTCCCGGAACCCCTCGCCACTTCCCCGGGCCCCTACGTCCACCCGAGGCCCCCCACCATTTACCCGGGCCCCCGCTTCCCCTTCCCCGGATCTCGAAACCCTCCCGGGCCCCCCTCTGCCCCTTCCCCGGGCCCCGCGCCCCTCCCGGAACCCCTTTCCTGGACTCCGGGCCCCCCGAGTTGGAGGGCCGGGGATCGGCGCCCCCTGCCTTGTTGCCCGAACGTACTTGCTCCCAAATTTCTCACCCTCTTGGGCTCCCGAGCGCGTGCGGTCCTCTCACTGTTACTTTGTAACAGCCCCTTTTTAATAAGCAAGACCAACGTTTTCTAACGTAGTTTGCCAACATTTTCCTTGTTTATCATTTGCTTTTTAATATTTTACCTGAAAATAATATGCAGTAATTTTTTTAATGCAAGCAAGTCTAAAAAATAAAGCGAAGGTCGCAGCCACTGCCTGGAAGGGCTGCGTCCCGTGTCTCGGGGAGCTGGATCCCTCCAATTGTCACCAGTTGCCATTTTCTCCCCCAGTGGCGTGAGGTCGAGACTGTGTGGGTTTTAGTCTTAGTATTTCCTTTGTGATCTTCCAGTTCGCATTCTTCTCTAGGTATGTTGAAAATATTCCTAAATTGCCATTTTTGACTAAGCTTATGGCATTTTGTTCTGGTTTGGGATTTTTTCAGATAGATTTCAATAGTCAAATTATTCACTCTTACAGGCTTTTGATTTGTGCTATGTTTAAAGGGCATTTCCTGCTGCGGAATTATATTTGAAAATGAATTCTCGTTTTTCTCTGGTACTTGTAAAAGGTTGGGTCCATCTGGAATTCATTTTAGTGTGGGGAGAATTAGGAATTTAGCTTCATTTTTTTCTTTTTCTCTAAATCTTGCCATTTCTAACACTACCTATTGAGTAATTCATCTTCCCCGTGATTTGGGAAGCAGCCTTTGTCATGTGTTAAATTTTTGTGCATCACTGGTCCATTTCTGAAAATGTGGTGGCTTTGATGTGTCTAAGGCTATCGGTTTGGATGTGTATTTATGATCATTTACTCCAGAGGTTGCAGAATTGTGCTTCCTGCTTGCCAGTGGCTCAGGGCTGCCTCTTCTGAAGGTGCTTCCATTTGTAGGGTGGGGCTCCGTTAGATGAAGAGGAAGTGACCCCTGGTGCTCAGAACACTGATCTGTTCTGATTTGTTCAGGTTATTTCCTGGGGAGATTTGCAAAAACAAAACTTGTAATCTGAAGAATGACGGGACCCGTGGTTGGGAGGTTGCTGGTGCGGTTTGCACTTACCCCTGCCTTGGGGGAGCTGGCCTCCCCAGTTGGCTCCTCCGAGTCTGTCCTGACCGTGGGTGGTGGTGATTCTGGCTCTGAGAGCCATCTGAACAGGACTTGTCATGCCCACCTGTGCTCCCTTCCTGTCTGAACTGTGTTGTTCTCATGGGGCAAAGCCTGGAGCTGGGCATCAGAATCATGGGGGGCAGTGAGCGAGTGGTGGCTTGTTAAAAGCCAGTGCTGGTGCTCTAGGTTAGGGTTGGAACTGTCTGGCGGTTTCAGTTTGAGGCCCGCAATGTTTTGCATGTTTTTGCATCCATCACAGACCTGTGCCAGACCTATCTTACCAAAGTACACATAAAGAAAGATTAAAAACTAGTTAGTGCCACTTTTTAAATTTGTTCAGTTTTTATCAGAGTGCAAGTGCCTTTAGTCATTGGGTACTATAACAAAATACCACGGACTGGGTAGCGTTTAACACTCATTTCTCACAGTTCTGGAGCTTGAAGTCCGAGATCAGGGTGCCAGCTCAGCACCTCTCTGGGGTTGCAGACCTCTTTCTGGCTATGCCCTCCCATGGCGGAGGGGACAAGGAAGCTCTGTGGGGTCTCTTCCGTAAGGGCACTGATTCCCTTGTGGGGGCTCCACCCTCATGACTTAAGCTCATCCCATTGGCCCCACCTCTTAACAGCATCACACTGGCAATCAGGATCTCGCCATGTGAACGGAGGGGGGCACATCAGGCCCTGGAACAAACGTGCTCTGTGTGTGCTTTCTTTACCTGGTGGGATGTGAAGGATACCCTAGGCAGGGATACTATCTTGATGCTTTTCTAGGACTCACCCGGGTGGAAATCTCCCCCTTCTCCCTCCCCACCCACTCCATGCCTCACATGTGCTGACAGCCCGGTTCTTGGGTTAATCTGATTTCATGAGGTAACAGCGCATGGTCCAGCAGTATCTGTCTCGGGTCATGCGGTGCTGAGTCCTCCTTTGTCCAAGTGAGGCCCTCAGCAGGGGTGTGATTTTTGAGGTGTGACAAAGTGTACCCTTCATGACCCTGGGATCATTGTTTATGAAATAGCCCCCTTGACATGTCCCCTGAACCCCTTCATTTCCCTTACCCAGCCCACCACTTTGCACAGCCTAACTCTTAGGGGATGTGTGACCTGCCTGAGGTATACCATCTTTAAGCCTGTGTCCATCCCAGGGGGGTACCTGCTGTCAAACAGCATATGTGACTTGAGCCTCAATAGTGCCAGGTGGCTTTCCTGAGAAAGGGTGTAAATACGGTTTCATTGCTCTTCTATTTTCATTCACCCATTCAACCAATGTTGGACTACTGGCAGCTCTGTGGGGACAGGAAGGGGGGGGGGGCAGAAGCCCCCAAGGCACAGGTCAGAAGGGCCTGTGAGAAAGCCACGTGGCCAGTGGCGGCCAAGGGACAGGAGCCTCTCCTGCAGAAGGCAGGCCTGGGCAGGGCTTTAGATGGCCTTGTGGGAGCCGAGGAAGGGCTGGGAAGGTTTGGAGCTGAGGATAGTCACTCTTCCCTTGGGGGAAGGTTCCCAACTGTGCTGCAGTGGGGCCAGGCTCTGGGTGTCTTGGAGGGGGAGGATTAGAAGAGAGGGTGAGGAAAGGTGGCTTCAGGATCAGGTTTCATGTACAGGTGCAGGCTGAGCTGGGGACAGAAACAGGCTCAGAGTTGGGTCTAAGTATCTGGGTTGCCATAGGACATCACACAGAGATGTCGAGCTCGGGGGGAGCAGATGGCCTGCTCAGCCACACGAGAAAGTGGCTGCATACAGTCGATTTTGTCTACTGTGTTTCCTGATGAGGTCTGCTGACATCTGTGTCAGTTGCAGACTCCCTGGCACTCCAGAAGATGTGAACCCATTCCCCACTAGGAGAACTCTGCCCCTCAACTTTTTCCAGCAGTTGGGTGAGACATATACCTCAGCTTTACTTGTCTGATAGGTCCTCAGAACCTGCCCACACCCAGGCCTCCACATCAGGTGTTCAGACCAGATCCCTGGATCACTTTGGACCCAGTTCACCAGAACCCAGTGTGCACTTCATGCCTCCATTGCCAACCACTGGTGGAGCCATCACTGGGCTAGCAGCCCCTGCTGCATCAGAGCTCAAGGGCCTCAGGGGTAAGACCAGTGTGCCCAGGTATCCATGAGCCCACCAGAGTGTCATGGTCAAGCCAAGCATGAGGGACCTGGGGTGGGGCCCCACAAGGTTGTGGGCCTTGAGCAGGGCCCTCTCCTCATTGGGGGACAGTCTCTAGAGGCAGCTGGCCTGGCACCTGCACCAGACCCGACAGCCTGTGTGTGGGCGGCGAGCCACGCCAACAGCCCAGAGCCTTGCTGGACCCCCAGCCACAGGTGCGACCCACTCACCACAAGGCCCCCCGGGGCCTGGAGAGCATAGCCTTGGGCTGGAGCACCCAGGATGCACTAGTGTCCCCAGGCATCTCAGATGTCCCAGAGAGCCCAGGAACCCTGTGTTTGTGTAGCTCCTGGGCTATGGGGTCCTTTCCCCCAAAGTGGGTCTGCCGGGACGAGGCTGGGTCCCTCATGTGCCCTCTTCTCTTACTGGCCCCACAGGATCCTCCGATTCCCATCTTCCTCAGACACCCCAGGGGACCGGGCCATGGCAGCAGCCAGGCTCCTGCCCCTCCCAGCAGGATCCCAGGTGAGCTGTCCCCAGCCTGTGTGGTGCCTCCTCATTTTCTCACAATTCTCCCAGACCCAGGCCACCAGTGGCAGCTGAGTGTCTCTGCACCCCTGAAATCTGTGGCCCCTTCCTGTCGCCACCTTTGCTCCCAGGGCATCTCCCTCAAAGCCATGTCACTTGGCACCCACTCTGTCTTGGATGTGGACACTCGGTCCAACAGCAGCCCCTGTCATTGCAGGCCAAGGTGACTTTCGAGGACGTGGCTGTGCTCCTCACTCGGGAGGAATGGGACCACCTGGGACCTGCTCAGCGGGGCCTCTACCGACATGTGATGATGGAGACCTACGGGAATGTGGTCTCACTGGGTATGGCCCCGCAGTACGACTTGTCTGTGTCTGTGCTTGGCCAGGGGTGGTGGTGGGGGCGTTCATCAGGTGGGAGCCTTGGGGTCACCTCCTGGCTCCTCAGCTCCAGAGGGAGGTCAGTCCTGTCTGTCTCATGCCTGCAGGCTGTGCGGGTGGGGTGGGGGCACTCACAGATGCTGCATAGACAGAGGACTTCCCTCCCCACAAGCAGGACTTCCAGGATCCAAGCCGGACTTGATCTCCCAGCTAGAGCGAGGAGAAGAGCCGTGGGTCCTGGGCAGGCCAGGGTCTCAGGAGAGCAGAGGCCCAGGCCGTGGCCACTCAGGTGGGTGAGCAGAGCTGGCTCTCAATTCACCGAGGGCCAAGCAGGTCCACCGGCTGTGGGTGCTGACAGGAAACAGCAGGAATGGGCTTCATCAAGGGCCTCTTCTGGCAAAGGAGCCTGCATCCAGGCCTGCGCTGAGCCAGGCAGGTGCCCAGGGCAGGCAGTGAGTGTGCCAACTCTGCCCCTGCCGAGGCCCCGTCCTTACGGAACATTCTGATTTTGAGGGCTTCCTGGTCGATTTAGAAAACAGCAAAGCATGCTAAGCGTAGAATGAAGTCCTTAACCTGCTACTTATGGTGGGAGTTGAAAAAATGCTGCCTGAGAGGAAGAACATCATGAGCTTGCTCACCATCCACACTGTGTCCGCTGTTCTCACTGTGAGCATTTTTGACACAAGAATTTCACTGCAGACATGCTCACCACATAACTAATTGGCCTTAAGGCAATTTTTTTTATTTTGTTATCATTAATAAGGCAATTTTTCCCTGAAAGAGAAAGTAACTGGTTGACCAGTTCAGTTTCATTTTTTTGTTGACAAAGGACTCATTTTTTAGGAGTCATGGTCTGTACACTAACAGGTGGATGTGCTGGTCTTAGAACAGCGGATGAAAACAACTGTGTATATCAACTTGACATAAAATACAACATAAAGCCAGATTCCATACTGTACTGCACTAGGAAATGACACCTCAGTTATAATGGTAACAAAGTTACAAATGCAGTAAAGCGTTAGTGTTTCTTCCACATTTCCCACAGAAGTTTGGAGGATCTGTGAACACGTGACAAATTGCCAAGAATGAACAACAGTGTAGGAGGCTTTTATACAAACTTGGTTACAAATGGGCATCCTAGTATTTGTAAACTGATACCTCTCTTAATAGAGGAAGAAATTTTAGTGAGGAAAAGAGAAAGTTTTGCTGAATAAGACCTTTGCTAATACTATGAACAAGACTTTGAAGACAAGTGCTTAAGTACAATCCACAAAATGTTATTTGGCAGTATTGCCAGGAATCTACACTATATGTTTTGAATGTACTCAAATATTTTGTATTTCACAGTAAAATCTTTAATTTTGTTAATTGTTTTTCATGTTTATGTCCTTTATAATGCCCAATTTTTTATTATTTCATGTTTTATGCCAAAATTGCCTTACAGCCAATTAGTTATGCAGGGAATATGCTTGGAGCAAAGGTGTTGCTAGTGATACAACCCTGGAATCCATCCCCCGGTCCTATAGTATTGTCCTGGGGGCCCCACATGTGGAATCAGGCAAGATAAACTAATAACAGGACAGTAACAAAACTAAAGCTGTAAGAATTGGAGGGAAAGAAGAAAAGTGTTGTTTGTCATTCCTATGATGTCTTCTTGGAAAAAGATTGATTACAAAATCAGTTTTGTTTCTTCGTCAGCAGCAAAGGTGTGGTTTTTTTCCCCAGATTCACTGAGATATAATTAATATATAGCACTGTATAAGTTTCAGGTAAACAGCATGATTTGACTTATATATTATGAAATAACATAATAAGTTTAGTTCACATCCAACATCTTACATATATATTTGTTTTAAATGTGTGATTTTTTTCTTAAAGTATTTACATACAGTAGCATCGGAAATAGAAAGTATCCAGTAATTAACAAAAATGTGCAGAACCTTTATGGAGAAAATTATAAAAGGGAAGATAATGGCAGATAGATCCAGCCCCATAGGCAGTGTTCAGTTGCTTTAGGCAAAGATGTCCAGTGCAGGAAGATGACATCTGAGTCTTGGGAAAACCTCAGTCAGCCTGTCCTGCAGGATGTGACCCCCCTCAGGGTGTATGGGACAGCACAGCACCTCTGGCTGATCAGCTTCCAAGTCTCAGGCCTGGCATTCTCCACCGTGTTTTTAGGCACTGTGTAGGTGGAGCACCAGGTTTACAGACAGCTTGCCTCTTACTGTCCTGTAAGATCACATGTCATCAGAGACTGAATGGGCCAGCCCAGAGGAATTTAATTTTCCAGTGAATGTTAAAAAAAGACAGCATTATTTTGTGGAAATCTTGCACTGAACTTCAACTGTTTGCTGACTGCAGTCACATAGAGCTACCTCTGACCCAGACCTGAGCTCCCTGGTAGCCAAGCCAGCTGTGGTTTCACCTGATGGAATCTTTCACAAATGCTTTTGAGATTTGATGCCAGAGATTGTGAAATTCTCCAAGGGTGTGGGCAGGTTGGAGACGAGTCTTTGCACAGAAGCACCTACTAAGCCCCCTGCACAGGCCTTGGAGAGATCAGTGATGTGCACAGAGCAGGAGCCCCGTCAGCCTGAGGCAGTGCGCTAGCAGCGGAGGGAGCCGCGCCTGCCCATCTCTGTTCTGGGCTTTTAACTCAGTGAATTGCACTTAGTTGTTACAGCAGCAAAGGAAACAATTTTTCCACTGTCTGGAGACCTGTAGTCTTGTCACCTCAACTCTTGTTTCTTTGCAGAAGACCTCAAACGTGACCACGTGACAGCTCATATGCAAGACAGTTCATCCTGTCCATGGGGTATGTGCATGTCTGGTCTTTTTAATCCAGTGCAATCCCTGAAGGTGTTAGTGCTTATAATTCACCAGAAGCAGAGAGATTCCCAGGGTGCTCTGATGCAGAATGTATGTTCTCATCATATAATACAGTCTCTGCAAAACACCGGGGAGGGGTTCTTTTAATTAAAAATTAGTCTCGGCAGAATTGCTTTTTTTTCTTTACCCCCGGTCACACGAAACATTCTTTGCTACTCTATACTTCAGATAACAACTGAAGCTGTTGTACTGGAAACGAGGCCTTAAAATCCTTACAGATAAAGCACAATTGGAAAATGCAGTTGCCGTTCAGTCCGCTTCCTCTGGTAGATGCCAGAACGAGACACCAGCAGATTCAGGCAGGGAGGCACCACCAGGGACCCCCACCTGGGGGCCCGTCTCTGTAGCTCTGTGATGGTGGGGGTAGAGCCGGCAGGTCTTCCTGAGCTGAGAGTGCCTGGTTCTTACCCAAGTGAACCATTCACCCAAGTGACTCCGCCTGCCCTGGAGAGGAGAAGGGAGGGCGCAGTCGCCACGCACACACTTAGGTGCTGCCCCAGTGTCCGTTTCTCTGGGCTAGCGTTTGTAAATCTGCTTCTCCCAAGGGCTGCTGGCCCCCCAGCACTTGTCACAGGGCTGCTCCTGGTGCCTCACTGAGGTGTAGGACGTGGTTTCTAGGGCCGTGGTGGTGTTCTGAGTGGGGCTGGTGTCCCCAGCTGCAGGGCGGGGACTGGGATCCAAGAAGCTCACGGGGAGACCGGGCTGCTGGCCTGTCCCCCAGGAAAGGGAAGCATAAAGGGCCTGACCGCACGTCCTGCTGCTGTGCGGTCGGCCACTGGGTGCCCCCCGCCCTGGTTGAGGCTGGCTCCATTGTCCGTGATGGTTGCCCTATGAGCACAGCCGATCCCCTCGTGAAGTCTTGGCGTGTGAGTGGCGTTTTGTCATCTCACCGGCTTAGTCTCCCAGATTAAAAAAACTACAGTTCCTGTCATTACGGCATGCTAAGCTTAACATGTCTAATTACATACATCTATAACTTTTATTCAAGATTCTTGTCCTTTAGTGAAAGAACCTGAATTTTCTCACCTTGGCTACTGACAAAAAAAATAAATTTTCTTCATCTAATTCTAAATTAGGTTAATTAAATCCCATGGAATTGTACTGAATAAAATACTACACTCATCAAATCTAAAAAAAAACCAAAAAACACTACAGTCCTCAGCATCCCTGCCGTCCCGTCCCACAGTCCCCAAAGCGCCCGGCCCCGCCACGGTAACATCCACAGGCCGCGTCTGCAGCCGAGGCGAGGCGAGACGCCCACTGCCTGTGTCCTCTTGCTTCCGGTGCATCCTCAGCGCAGAGGAGGCCGCAGCGGCCCGGCGGCCTGGACTGTAGCCCCACTGTGCGCGCAGTCACAGGGCCCGGCGGGCGGCCCCCTAGGCTTCGGCTTCTCTGGTGGGGCCGGCTCGCCATTTGCTGCTCAGCCCCCAGCCTTGGGCTTCGGGGGCCGGCCCCGCCGCGCCAGCGGAGCACCCACGCGGCTGCGCCTGCCCTGCGGTTCGGGCAGGTCGTGTGCTGACGCTTCCGCTTTGGATTCCTTTCAGAGGTGGAGGACGAGGGCGAGACCCAAGAGAGGGGCTCGAATCCGAAGCCACTGGCCCCAGACGCAGTAGCCGCGGTCCCGGAGAGAGCGCCCCCCGGGCGGGCTGGCCCCGAGGCCCGGGCCCCGAACCCCGGCGAGCCTTCGCCCGGGTGCGCGGCCCCCGCGGGCGGGGAGAGGCCCTACAGGTGCGTGGAGTGCGGGAAGAGCTTCGGCAGGAGCTCCCACCTGCTCCAGCACCAGCGGACGCACACGGGCGAGAAGCCGTACGTGTGCGCCGTGTGCGGCAAGGCCTTCAGCCAGAGTTCGGTCCTCAGCAAACACAAGCGGATCCACACGGGCGAGAAGCCCTACGAGTGCGGCGAGTGCGGCAAGGCCTTCCGGGTGAGCTCGGACCTCGCGCAGCATCACAAGATCCACACGGGCGAGAAGCCGCACCAGTGCCCCGAGTGCCGGAAGGCCTTCACGCAGCTGTCGCACCTGATCCAGCACCAGCGCATCCACACCGGGGAGAGGCCGTACGTGTGCGCGCTCTGCGGGAAGGCCTTCAGCCACAGCACCGTCCTGCGCAGCCACCAGCGGGCGCACACTGGCGAGAGGCCGCACGCGTGCGGGGAGTGCGGCCGCGCCTTCAGCGTCCGGAGGGCGCTCGTGCAGCACCAGCGGGCGCACAGCGGCGAGAGGCCGTACGCGTGCGGCCAGTGCGGCCGCGCCTTCAGCGACCGCTCGGTGCTCATCCAGCACCATAGTGTGCACACGGGCGAGAGGCCGTACGAGTGCGGCCAGTGCGGCAAGGCCTTCGGGCACCGCTCCACCCTCATGAACCACGAGCGGATCCACAGCGCCGAGAAGCCCTACGGGTGCTACGCGTGCGGGAAGGCCTTCGTGCAGCACTCGCACCTGACCCAGCACCAGCGCGTGCACACTGGCGAGAGGCCCTTCGTGTGCGGCCAGTGCGGGCATGCCTTCAGCGCCCGCAGGTCCCTGGTCCAGCACGAGAGGGTCCACACGGGCGAGAGGCCCTTCCGGTGCACGCAGTGCGGCAAGGCCTTCAGCCTGAAGGCCACGCTCATCGTGCACCTGCGGACCCACACGGGCGAGAGGCCCTACGAGTGCGGCCGCTGCGGAAAGGCTTTCAGCCAGTACTCGGTGCTGGTGCAGCACCTGCGGACCCACACGGGCGAGAGGCCCTACGAGTGCGCGCAGTGCGGCCGCGCCTTCAGCCAGCACGGGCACCTGGTCCAGCACCAGAAGGTGCACGCGCCGCCGGGACCGCGCCGCCGGGATGCACCTGGCTCAGGGCAGCCTCACGTCCCAGAGGAGCCCCCGTTTGGGCTGCAGGGGCCCTTCAGTGACCCTGTGGCACAGAGTAACTCCGAGGAGCAGGAGTGAGTGTGTGTCCTGTGGACAAACCTCGAACACCTGTTTTATTTTTCTCAACATCTTGAAGTCACAGTGGAGAGTAATCCCACAATTATGGTGAAATATAGTCAGGACAGCCATAATTCATTCATTCTTCAGCATTAGACAGTTTATTTGGAGTAATAAAACTTCCTCACACTCCACTGATTTATCTTAGAACGTCACATGCCTTTCCTACATAACAATGATTATTCTATTGTATGTAGAATATTGGACTGTTTTCAGTATTCTGTTCAAACACTAAAGTGCTGTGTGGATAAAATGATATAAAGTCCTTTATTCAGTACTTTAAGATCAGAAAGGATGTCCTAAATTTTTACTGGAAATTCAACTGGAAAAAACATATTTTCCCAAAACCCACCCTTATGGCCTCTTGGCCCCATTTGGGCGCAGGACAGGAGCTCTGTGCTCAGAGCCCGGACCTCACAGCTGCTACACCAGGTAGGTGCCTCTTAACACATTATGGGATTCCAAAGAAAAAAATGTCACTAGAAAGACAGTTCTGTAGCACAAGTTTTTAAAACAAATTTCTCTTACTTCAAATAGCTCTTATCTTTATTTCTGTTCCTATGTTTGAGGGTGTTTTAATTTTTTAAATCCTGTTTCCAAGAGACTATAGTATTCATCATCATCATAACTGTGGTGAACCTGGTTTACTCCAAGTTCTTTCCTCTTGAAAATATCAGCTTCTCTGGCAAGATCAAGGATGTCAGTCATTAGGTCCACAGCTGTGGTGCGGATAAAGGCTTGTTTTTCCCCTTCATGAGATGCTGGTGAACTGACGTCGCTGGTGCATGTCACACAGCAGCTGTGATCACGGGCTCACATAACCAGCAGCACCTGGTGTAGCTGCGATCACTAAGGTTGAGTGGAGGCAAGATCACTGAGGTGTCCCTTCCCTGGAGCTGAGACGATACAAGTGTTACTCCAGAGATGTATGAAATCCGAGGTCACAGGGAGATTCAGAGGGTTGACTGCTGAGAAGCCAGAATACCTGAAGTGAAGCTCCAGACTTGACAGAAGTGTTACTTCAGAGACCAGCGAGGTTTTAACTTACAAATTCCCCACAAAGGCAAACTGCCACCCCACACTAAGCCAGTCCACAGCTGGCATCTGACTCAGTGGCTGCCACTCAGAGTGCCCCCCACTACTCGGCACAGTTCCCACTCGTGGAAGGATTGGAATAAGGCACAAGTCATACTCCAGTCAAGAATAAGAGTCAAATTCAGTGTATAGAAATACTTGTTTGGAAAGACCCTTTATATGCATCACAGGACAACTTAAGATACAGAGTGCAGGTCATCCTGGATTGCTAAATCCTACAGATAACCTAAGCGTTCTTGGAGAAATCTTTCCAAAACATACAGTTGGCTTTCCTGCCTTCGTTTTTTTATTTTGGTATTGTTAATGTACAATTACTTGAACAACATTATGGTCACTAGACTCCCCCTATTAGCAAGTCAGGTCCCCACCACATACCCCATTACAGCCACTGTCCATCAGTGGGCTTTCCTGCCTTCTTAAGTGAAGTGTACTTGGTACCATTTCAGCCCCTTCTTGCTGTCAGTTGCCACTGACCCATAGATAAGCATGCAGGCTCAGGTGTTGGGAGGTGAGCTGCAGCACCCCTCTCCTTGGAGAAGACCCCAGCACGCACTGCCCTTCACCTCTCTAAAAAGCAAGAAGTAGCACATGACCTGTTGGAACACGAGGCCAGTCTCTCTTTCTTGGAAGTGCATCAGGTCAGAATGACCTTTGGGGTCCTCCTAACCCTAACCCTAACCCTTCTCAGCCATTATGTCCCACCTCTGACTTGTCAGCAACACTCCACTTATTTTGTTTTGTTTTGTTTTTACCTTTTTTGGATGTCTACATTTTATGTATTTAAATCAATCTATATTATTTCTCCTAACTACCAAGAATTTGACACTTCGTTCTATTCAAGTGAAAAACATTTTAGTCCACCTGAACTTATTTCTGTGTGCTATGTATAATTTGACTTATTTCCCAATAAAAAAGTAACGACTGGACACCTTTGTGGACATAGGAAGATCAGTAACCTTGACATAAGGATCTGCACAAAGTGGCCATAGGACATGAGTTGGCAATTCCCAATATGGGAAAATAGAGTCAGGAAGGCTTGGAAAGGGCCAAATTGCACTAATTACAAACAGAAATATGCTACTTCTTCCTAAGGAAGGTTTATACTGTAATACACAGAGCTGTCAAGTTGAGGGAAAGTGGGTGCTTTTGTGCACTGCTGACAATACACCCTACCTCTTTCAAGGACATAACAGCATGACCCAGCTCTCCTGGAGGAAAATGACTGCACCCCAGGGCCCAGGCCGCCCAGAGGCAGCTGTAAGAGGGGCAGGGGCCCTCCTGGAGGACAGGCTGGGGGTGCTCTGGCCACCAGAGACCACTCCATGCACAAAGGTCTAGTGGTGGAGGCCCAGAAGTATTTCACAGTGGGTGGAAGTGGGGGCAGCACTGAGGTCTCTACAGTAGCCCATCTGGTTGAGTTTGGAAACACTTGGTTTCATGCAGAAAAGTTGCAAGCTGAGAAATTTAAGTGAGGTCGTACGAAATTAAGGGGTGCCCACAACTGCCCTCACTTCTGACTCCAATTGCAAGTTTGAGGGTCCTCACGCTGTCTCTCGGATTCAAGACTGCTACAGTGACTCAGAACGCAACTTGAAAGCTGATACACATATGGTTACAGTATATTACAGGGAATGGATAAAAATTGGCCAAGTAATTCCATGGTACAAAATCCACAAATGCAGGGCTGCTGTCTTTTCCCTGCAAAGTCATGGAGAGCATTACTTTCTTGGCACTAATGTGGACAATGTGCACAAGGTACTGCCAAGGGAAGCTCACTTGAGCCTTGGAGTCCAGAGATTTTGTTGGGGCTCAGTGACCAACATCACTGGCCACCTGTGTGGCTGACCTCAGTCTCCAGCCTCCAGAAGTTTGAGTTGATGCTGCATGGCCCAGAGCCCCCACTGTAAGTCACAGTTTTAGACTACCTGGCGTGGCTCACAGCCACAGGTAAAGACAACCATCAGGGAGGCCATTCTGATAACCCAGGACCAAGGGCAGGGGCCAGCCCTCTGGGGTAAGGTTAATTCTTTCTGCAAAGGTGGTTAAAAGCAGGTTGGAGTCCAGCCCTGCATCCAACTGCTCTGTGAGCTCAGTCAAGTCCCCGTCCTGAACCTCAAGTTCTCATCTGTAGGTAAGAATATCACCACCCATGCCACAGGCTTAGCACTAAAATCAAGTGAAATCACTGCAGAAAAGACCTGCTCAGTTTGTTGAGGTCCATGTGTTGTTAGGCATGACTCTGGTCGGGTGCAGCCACCATAGCAGGTAAGGGAGCTGCTCACCCCTCACAAGAGGGCGCCCAATTCTCCACAGCCTCAACGGTTCCTGTAGAGGCTCTAGCCTGTGCCCTCCCGACACTGGCAGGATACTGGCACAGGCAAGGTCAGGTGTGGCTGGCACTGGGCAAAGCCTCATTCCCTCAGCATGAGAGGCCAAAGCCCTGGGGGACATCTGCAGACTGGCCCAGCCCTTGAGGATGGGTGGGAAGGCCCAAGCCAGCAGCTCCCAGTGGTCCTCTGGCTCAGATGTGATCTCCTGCCTGGATCTCTCTGTCCCAAGGGTGTGCACAGGGCCACCCACAAAGACTGAGGACATGAGCACCATACATGCATGCTGTGAATGTGGCCCCACCTGACCTTCCCACTGCCATCAGAGTGGGTGATGTTACAACTCCTTTACCAGGGGTGTCTACTCAAGGCTCCTCAGCTGTGTGACCCTCTCACCCAGCAGCTGACTCTCCTGACTCACTGCTAGCTGCCTAGAGCTATTAAAAGTTATTAAAAAGTAGCCCATGCATGATGACTAGCACACATAATGTAGGTGGCTCACGGGGAAGGCAGTACAGCACGGAGTAGACAAGTAGTGACTCTACAGCATCTTACTCCACTGATGGACAGTGATGGCAATGGGGTGTGTGGGGGGGACTTGATAATATGGGTGAATGTTGGAAAAACCTTCATAATATTGTGTATCAATACCTTAAAAAAAATGTAGCCCATGATCTGAGATGACATTGCTCCCAAAGGCCCTATCAGCTGGCAGACAACTCATTTTATGATCTTGTGAGCCGAGACAACAGGTCAGCTGCAAGGAGTCAGCCCACCAGACACCAAGGATTAACTGTCCAAGATGGCCCAGTGGAAATATGTAGAACCAGTGGGGCCCTCTGCCCATGCTCTCACTGCATCCCTAGACACTTGGCCTCTGTGCAAGTGTCACCAACTCAAGTTACCAGACCTCTAGAGCCAAAACCAAACAGCCAAGAAAACCTGCCAAACTGTATCTTCTCTAGTTCTGCACAATGAAAATAACCACCATATTTTTATGTTTCTAGGCATACTATCCCATTAAATAAGCTTCAGACTGTACTGCCTTGCCACACCTCCCTGCCTCTTCTGCCCTCCTAACCATGATTTCAGGGCTCCCTTTAAGGAGTCCAGTCCCTTGGGGTTCCACTGGTTCAGGGGACACCCATGCTGATACGATGATGGGACGCCCAGAGGAGAGGTTCTTAACCCCATGAGAGTGATAGGGCAAAGGATGAAAAAGAAGAGGTGGTACCCACTAAAACCAGCACAAAGAAGTGCAGATTTCCTGCATAATCAGACAGTCAGATGTAATACTAACTAAAGTCATACCAGTTAATTAGCAAGCAGAGGTTAAAATTACAATGTGCAGTGCAGGGAGATTATGTGGAAATCAGATTATGCTCTACTCAATTTTGTATCCTGGCAGGCAAGTAAATGGTTTTTCAATGACTCAGTTCTGGTGATGCATATACTGGTGACAATCACTCTGGAAACCATTTGCATATATATACAACAATGTCCTTTAAAAAGTTTATCCTGTTATAGGAATATATTCTAAAGACATAATTTAAAAGAAACTAAAGGCCTTACTAATGTGAAATTAATCACTGTGGAATAACATACATCCAATGATGTTTCATAAACTATGTCAATTAAATAGAAATTTTGTTGCTATTATAAAGACAATTATTAGGGAGTGATGTCAGAGTAGAGTAGATGGCAGAATAGGGAACTCCAGGAATCTGTCCCTCAATCTGAACAACTACTGAGTTGGCAGGGACTATCTGCAGTAACTATTTTGGAGCTCTGGAGTCTAGTCAAAACACTTGCAGGGTTCAGAAGAGAGCTTGAAGATGAAGGTAGTAAATTTCAGCAAATCTCAATGAATTTCCATGTTCAGCATAGCACCTACTGTGCTCATCTCCTACCCCATGCCATGCAGCCATGTGGAGAGTGACCTGCATTCCAGTCCTCCACAAGGAAGATTCAGCAATTGCTAAGGGGTGGGAGATACAGAATTCCAGAGATACCACACATAATACTATACTCAAAATGCCCAGTTTTCAACAAAAATTTACAAAATATGCAAAGAAACAGGAAAGCATGGCCCATCACAAGGAATACAAAAGTTGACAAAAACCATCTCTGAAGAAGTCCAAACACTAGAAGTCAACAGTCTTAGGTATGTTCAACGACGTAGAGGAAACCATGGACAAAAAAAAACTAAAGGAAACAAAGAAAATGGTTTATAAACAAAGTGAGAATATTAATAAGGAGACAGAACTTATAAGAAGGAATCAATTTCTGGAGCTGAAAAGTACAGTAACTGAAATGAAAAACTCATTTTCATTGTGATTCAATAGAAGACCTGAGGATACAGAGAAAGGATCAATAAACTGAAGACAACTGCAATTATCCAGTATGAGGCACAGAAAGAAAAAAGAATGAATAAAAATGACAGAGCAAAGAAACCTATGGAAACACCATCAAATGTACAAACATACAAATTACAGGATTCCAAGTAGGAAGAGAAAAGGGCAGAAAAGATATTTAAAGAAACAATGGCCAAGAACTTCTGAAACCTGAGAAGACATGAATACACGTGTCCAAGAAACTCAATCAAACAGAATATAAACTAAGAGATCTACCCTGAGACATAGTATAGTCAAATTTTCAAAACCCAAAGAAAGAAAATTTTTAAAGCAATAACAAATAAATGACTCAATACAAAGGATCCTCAGTAAGATTAACAGCTGACTTCTCAAAAATAATGGAGACAATATAATGGAATGATGGACTTTTAAGCCTGAAAGTGGGAATTGCCAACCAAGAATTTAATATCCAGCAAAACTAGCTTTCAAGAATGAGGGAAAATTTAAGGCAATTGAAGACTTTTAAGAAGCTGAGTGATTCATTAACAGCAGACTTGCTTTACAAAAAGATACTGATGGGGTCCTTCAGGCTGAGATGAAAGGACATGAGGCAGTAATTCAGAGCCATAAGAAAAAATACTAGTAAAATTAACTATGCAGGTAAATATAAAAGTTAGTGTTACTGTAGTTGTGTTATGGTAACTTCTCTTTCCTACATAATTTAATAGGCAAATGCATAAAACAATAATCATATATCTACGTATCTCTGTTAATAGGCATATAATAGATAAAGAAAATGTGATGTGTGACAGTAACAACATAAAGGAGGAGGCACAAAGATGTATAAGAAGAGTGTTTATGTATTAAAATTCAAACCAGGTTGTTATAACCTTACGATGTTAATGTTATTCCCAAAGTAACCACTAGGAAAATAATTTAAAAAATACAGAAAAGGAAAGAAGGGAATTAAAATGGCACACTACCAAAAAAAATAAAAATCCACTAATAACAAAAAACAGGCAGTAACCAAAATTGAGGAAGAAAAAGCAAGATATACATTAGACAAACAGATAAATGACAGAAGTATATCCTTCATTAGTAATTACATAAATGTTAAATGGATTAAATTATCTCACTGAAAGTAAAGGCTAGCAGATTTGATTTTAAAATGTCAGGATCCAACTGCATGCAGACTATGAGAGACTCACTTTAGATATAAGGACACAGAGAGGTTGACAGTAAAGGAATGGAAAAAACGTGAGGACATTTCTGTATGTAATGACAACTGACCTTACAGAAGTAAAAAGGATTACATAAGAATACTATGAACTGTACACCAACAAATTAGATAATGTAGGTGAACTAGATGAATTCCTAGAAATACATTCTACCAACAGACTCATGAATAAAAATAGAGACCAAAAGAGAGCTAAGGTGACTGTATCATCAGAATAGACATTGAAACAAAAAAATTATGAGACAAAGAACATTATATATTGATGAAATGTTTGACACAAAAGAAGACATAATAATTATAAACACATACACACCTAGCAACAGAGTCCCCAAAATACATGAAGCACAATGGTGGATTTGAAAAAGAAAAGACAGTTCTATAATGACCAAAGACTTCAATACTCCAATTTCAATAACAGAACTAGACAGAAAATCAGTAAGGAAACAGAGGAGTTGGACAACACTAAAACAATTAGACTTTATATACACAGAACACTCTACCTACCAGCAGAATACATGGAACATTCTCCAGATGATATGATAGTTTACAAAACAAGCTGTAATACATTTTAAAAGATTAAAATCATACAAAGTATCTTTTGATCACAATGGAATAGTCACAAATCAACAGCAGGGAAAAAATAAACCTGGAAAATTAAGATAAATTTTTAACAAATGGGTCAAAAAAGAAATTACAAGACAATGTACAAAATGTATAGTGACAAATGAAAATAAAAACACAATGTGCCAAGTTAGGCGATGTAGTGACAGCAGTGTTTGGAGAGAAACTTATAGTTGTAAATGCATACATTAAAAAAAATCTCAGATCAGTAACAACGGTACATTCTAAGGAAGTAGAAAAAGAAATAAACCCAAGATAATGGAAGATAATTTTATCACAGATCAGAGTAGATAAAATGAATTAGAAAATAGAGAAACAGAGAATCAACAAAATCAAAAGTTGGCTCAATGAAAAAAATCAACAAAATTGAGAAGCCTTTAGCTAGGCTAAGTAAACAGAGAAGATTCAAATTACTAAAAAATGAAATGAACATGAGGACATTTCTATATGTAATGACAACTGACCTTACAGAAGTAAAAAGGATTATATGAGAATACTATGAACTGTACACCAACAAATTAGATAATGTAGGTGAAACAGATGAATACCTAGAAATATATTCTACCAACAGACTCACGAATAAAAATCTGAATACATTTATAACTACCAAGAAGATTGAATCAGTAAAAAAAAAAAACTCCCCCCCAAAAAAAGGCCAAAACAGATGGCTTCACTAATCAACTCTACCAACAAATTTAAAAAAGCACTGTGCTCACTTTGGCTGCACGTATACTAAAACTGGAATGATAAAGAGATTAGCATGGCCCTGTGCAAGAATGACATACAAATTTGTGAAGAATTCAAAAATTTTTTTTGAAAAATCCAAGTTTGCTGATTTAAATAAAGAATCTCCATCATTTTGGGATGAGAAAAAACAAAAAAAGAATAAACACCAATCCTTCTCAAACTCTTCCAAAAAATTGAAGTAACACTTCGTAACTCATTCTATGAGGTTGACATAACCCTGGTATCAGAGGGACGACGACACAAACTATGGACCAATATCCCCTATGTATATTGATGTAAAAATCTGAAACAAAATATTAGCAATCCAAATTCAACAGCATATTAAAAGGATTATATATCATGGTCAAATAGGATTTATTCCTGGAAAGCAAGGATGGTCAATACAAGAAAATCAATTATTGCCACACATCAACTTAACAGAATGAAGCAAAAAAACACTTGGTCATTTCAACTGATGTGAAAAAAATACCCAGCTTTTGACAAAACTAAATACTTTTCCATGATAAAAAAAAAACGCCTACTAAATAAACTAGGAATAGAAGGAAACTCCCTCAACATAATAAAAGTTACATAGTTCTATAACACCATACACAATGGGGAATAACTGAAGAACTTAAGATCAGGAACAAGTAAAGGATGCTAACATTTGCTACTTTTATTCAGCACAGTACAGGAAGTTCTAGCCAGAGCCATCAAGCAAGGAAAATAAACACAAGACATCCGAACTTGAAGTAAAATTATCTTTGAAGTTGACATGATCTTATATGTAGAAAACTTCAAAGACTGCATGGGCGCACCACACACACACACACACACACACACACACACACACACAAAACCCTTAATAACTAACAAACTAATTCAGCAAAGTCACAGCACACAAAATCAAGGCACAAAAATTAGTTACATTTCTATACACTAACAATAAAACAACCCAATAAAGAAATTAACAATTCCACTCACAATAGCATTAAAATAAATAAAATACTTAGAAATAAATTTAACCAAGGAGGCAAAAGACTGTACACTGAAAAGTACAAAAGATCACTGAAACAAGTTAAACAATACATACACAAATGGAAAGACATCCCATGTTCATGAATTGGAAGATTTAATATTATTAATAATACAGCAATACTACCCAAAGTGATCTATAGAATCAGTACAGTCCCTATCAAAATCCCAATGACAGTTTTTGCAGAAATAGAAAAACCCATCATACAGTTCATATGGATCTTACAGTATCCCCAATAGCCAAAAAGTCTTGATAAAGTTGGGGGACTCACACTTCCTGATTTCATCACTTACTATAAAGCTACAGTAATTAAAATAGAGGGATGCTCGCATAAGGAAAGATATACAGACCAAAGGAAGAGAGTCTAAAAATAAACCTTTGCTATGTGGTTAACTGATTTTTTTTTATTTTGGGGAACCAAGATCATGTTATACACTGAATGTTTGTGTCCCTAAATTCACATGTTGAAGCTACTGTTTGAAGACAGGGCTTGTGAACTGATGATAAAGGTTAAATACAGTCATTAGGGAGGGGCCCTAACCCAATAGGGCTGGTACCCTTAGAAGAGGAAGAGACACCTAAGATCTTTTTTTCCACCATGGGAGGACACAACAAGGCCATTGTATGCAGGCCAGGAAGAGAACCCTCACCAGGAATTTAGACTTTGATCTTGTACTTCTTAGGCTTCAGACCTATGAGAAATTAATTAGTTTTCTAAGCCACCTGGCCTGTGGCATTTTGTTATGGCAGCCTGAGATAATACACAGTTAAACAGGGAAAGGAAAGTCTTTTTTTTTAATGTTGTAGAGAAAACTGGATATTCACATTCAAAAGAATGAAACTGGACCCTTATACCATGTACAAAAGTTAGTTCAAAATAGATCAAACACCAAAACATAAGACCTAAAACTATAAAACTGTAAGAAGAAAAGAGAGGAACTTATCTTCACAATCTTGAATTTACCAATTTCTTGGCTATGATACCCAAAGCACAGACAACAAAAGAAAACTGAACTTCATAAAAATTTAAAATGTGTGTATCAAAGGACACAAGAGAGTAGAGACAACTCACAGAATGAGAAATTATTTGCAGAAAGGGATTACTAGGCAAAACATATAAAGAACTCCTACACCTCAACAATGAAAACAGAGACCCCAATTTAAAAATGGGCAAAAGTCATGGATGGATATAAATGACCAAGAAAATGCTCAACATCATTAGTCATTAGGGAAATGCAAATTAAAAACACAATGAGAAACCACTTCACACCCATCAGGATGGTTATCATCAAAAAATGGAAAATAACAAGTGTTGGCAAAGATGTAGAGAAATCGGAATCTTCATGCATTGCTACTGAGGATGTTAAATGGCACAGCTCTGTGGAAAAGTTTGCCATTCCTCAAAAAGTTAAACACAGAATTACTATATGATCCAGCTATTTCAATACTAGGATTGTACCCAAAAGTACAAAAAAAAAAAAGTAGGGATTCAAGCAGATACTTGTACATCAATCAATGTTCATAGCAGCATTATGCACAACAGTTGAAAGATAGAAACACATAGGTGTCCATCTGTTGGCAGCCGCGCTCAGAAAATAGTGCCCAATGCAGGGCAGCCGGAAGGCCCCGAACTTCCTAATGACAAATCATCCCACACCACTAAACTACATGCTAATTGCGCCTTGGCATAAGGACCAATGAGACCCACCAAATGGTTATGCTAATAAGGCATATGGAGCCGCACCAACCAGGTCAGAGCATGAGAACTATATAAGCAAGCCTCTCCTTCCCCTCTGGGTCCTGCCCAACTCATTTGTTTCACAAAGAGCTGAAGAATAAAGCTTTCTGCAGAAGAATCCTGCTGTTGTTGCGTGCTGTTCTTGCCGGCGAGGACGGGGCACGCGACATCCATCAACAGGAGAATGAAAAAATGTTATCTACAAACGATGTATTATTCCACCCATAAAAATGAAATTCTGATACTGGCTACAACATGGATGAACCTTGAGGACATTATGCTAAGTGAAATAAGGCAGACATAAACGGCAAAAATATATATATTACTCCACTTATGTGAGGTACTAGACTAGGCAAATTCATAGAAACAGAAAATAAAAGTTGCCGGCTACTAGAAGAGAAAGAAAATGGAAAATTATTGCTTAATGGGTAGAGTTTCTATTTGGGATAATAAAATAGTTCTGGAAATAGTGATGGTGGTTACACAACACTGTGAATATATTCAATGCTACTCAACTGTGCACTTAAAAATGGTTAAAATGGTAAATTTTGTATTTTACCACAACAAAAAGGTAATTATCAACTCTATTGACACAGAAAAGTATGAATGTTAATTTTTTTAGACTTATAATACATAAAAATATGTAAATATGTAGAATTTTTTCCTGTATGAATTTTCTGGTATTGAGGAAACAGCAAAAATGAAGATCCTAGGTGTTTGAGGAGCATAGCAGAATTTTCTTTTAAAAATGCTCTTTAGTGTCTGAAAGCAAAAACTTATACTAAATCAGCAGTGACGAATTCTCTTTTTCAAAGTGGAAGATGATTACGGGAGCTTCTCCTTTTTAACTTTCTCTCTCAATTTCTCTTAAAGAAACATGCACTGCTTTTGGTTTAAGAGGTTTTTTAATTAGAAGTTGCCCTTTCAACTGTAAAAACACTGTGTGGATAACAAATAAAGGAATGGGGTGGGTCATGTGAAGGAAGTGCACAGAATTCATGGGCCCTCCTCCACTGTCACCTTGAGAAGTCTTCTCGGAGGTGAATCCTCTGATGCTGGCACATGTTGGAACTGTGCCTGAAGGCCTTCCCACACTTACTGCATTTGTAGGGCTTCTCCCCTGTGTGGATCCTCCGGTGCTGGATGAGGTAAGTGCCCTGGCTAAAGGCTTTCTTGCAATCACTGCACTGGTACGGTTTCTCTCCATGGTGTGACCTTTGGTGGTGGATGAGTCTGGAACTGTTGTGGAAGGCCTTCCCACACTCACTGCACTTGTAGGGCTTCTCTCCTGTGTGGATCCTCTGATGCTGGATGAGGTGTGTGCTCTGGCTGAAGACTTTGCCACAGTCATTACATTCATAGGGTTTCTCTCCAGTGTGGCTTCTCTGATGTTCAACAAGTTTGGTTTTCTGGATGAAGGCTTTCTCACATTCATTACATTTATAGGGTTTCTCTCCAGTGTGAATTCTTTGATGTTGGATAAGGTTAGAACTTTGGGTAAAGCCTTTGCCACATTCTTTACACTCAAAAGGCTTCTCCCCAGTGTGAGTCCGACGATGTCGAATAAGGATTGAGCCATCACTGAAGGCTTTCCCACAGTCATTACACTTATAGGGTTTCTCTCCAGTGTGGATTCTCTGGTGATAAATAAGGGAAGAGTAGGCACTGAAGTGTTTTCCACATTCGCCACACTTATATGGCTTCTCCCCAGTGTGGATCCTCTGATGCTTCATGAGGTTGGGCCTCTGGTTGAATGTCTTCCCACACTCATCACACCGGTAGGGGATCTCCCCTGAGTGCATCCTTCGGTGATTGATGAACTCACAGCTCTGGCTGAAGGCTTTTCCACACTCATCACACTTATAGGGCTTCTCTTCACTGTGAAGCCTCTGGTGCTTGACAAGGTTAGCACTGTACCTGAAGGCTTTCCCGCAGTAACCACAATAATGCAGTATCTTCCCAGTAGGAATTTTCTGATCTTCCTTAATAACTAAATTTGCCCTAAAGATTTCCCCAGAATCATGAACTATATTTGTTTTTTTTGACCTGTGTACACGCATATGGTTATTGAGGTAAGATCTCTGCTCAAAACTCTGCTCACATATATCACATCTGTGGGGTCTCTGATCAGGGATGGGGCTTGACCCCAGCCTGAGACTTCCTCCAGATTCCTGGCTTCTCTCCTCATTAGTCAATGTGACTGGCCTGGAATCTCTCTGCTCCACAGGTTTGTCCAGGCTCTCCTCTGGCTCCCTGACATGCTCATGGGCTTCTCCTGCCTCAGGTCCTTGGGGAATAGTTCCCCTGACTTGATCCAGTTCTTCCCCATCAAGCATCTCCCTTGATGTCAACTCCTTATATTCAGTCCTGGTCCCATGAGCTGAAACAACAAACACAACATCTCAGGGTCACCTGTTCTGATGCTGAGAAGAAGGTATGAAGGTGCTGCTGACCACCTGTGGAATACCAATTCTGTCATCTCCAAAGGTGCAACACTTTGCAGAGAGCCTTGAGCTCAGAGGCTTGAAGACCTCACTCTGGGCTGCAGTCATGTAGCAGTGCAAACATTTAAACCTAGGTCTAAACTACTTAATATCCATGCCCTTACTGCCTGCCTTCTGCCCATAAAACCTGACTGAATGAGAGTGTAGAATGCCTGTTTTTCATTACAAAGGAACAGAAGATGGAGGTTTCACAGCACCATGGAAACCAGAGCAAGGAGGGGCCTTGGAAGTCAAGGAGGACATCTGACAAAGAAGTGAGTCTAAGGCCACCAAACAACAGCCAATCCACCTCAAAATCCATGGTAGGTAAACCAGTCACCTCCTCATGAGGGCAGAGGGCCAAACACATGCCCTCTCCTCTGTCAATACTACCCTCTCTCACCCTCCAAGAAGATTCATCCCAAGAATCACCCCAACGAGGCACCCAGGCTGACAGAGAGGACCTGGGTTTCAGCAGAGGGCACTCCCAGGCTGCCATGCTGCTCCTGATGCACCTACCTCCAAATTCCTGACTAAACCACACACCTTGAACCCAACAAATGCTTCTCAGTAACTGAGGTAGGGAAGCAGACCCCTCACGCACCTGAGCCATTGACTATCAGTCGCTCTCTCCCCTCAACGCCCTGCATATCCAGGACCCACGGCTCATCCCCTCGCTCCAGCTGTGTGATCACCCCAGGCTTGGCACCTGCACATTCAGCTCCTGGGAAAAGGATGGGGTCTGGGGTTGGTGCCAAGGATGCAGGACTGCACCAGTCTTGCCCAGGACTGCAGGGGGCGGGGGGGGGGGCACAGGCACAGTGATGGGAAGTCTGAACACTCACTGGAGGGCTGGGGGTGGTCATGAAAATGAAGATATGAGCACAAGGGGTCTCTCCACCAGGAAGCGCATAACTCCCCCTGGGGAGGGGTCTGTCTTGGGCCTGGGGCAGGGAGACAGTCTTATCCACGAGTTCATAGGAAGGAAAGGTTGACCCACACCCACCCAGCCCATCCTCTGGGCAGACCAGGCCTGCCTGGAACCATGGTCAATGACACCTGTCTCTAGGTCCACAGGGTGAGGTCCCCCAGCCCAGCCCCTGCCACAGTCCCCAGGGCTGTTCCCTGAGCTGTGTCTCAGTGGGCAGCCTTACCCAGGGAGACCAGGCTCCTGTAGGTCTCCAGCATCACATCCCTGTAGAGGCCCCTCTGAACAGTGCCCAGATGGCTCCACTCCTCCTGGGAGAAGAGTACAACTACATCCTCGAAGGTCACCTTGGCCTGAAAAGACAGGGGATGCTGCAGGTCAGGTGCAGCTCAGGAGAGGTCATGGGGACAGAAGCAGGGGCATACTAGGAGCATCAGCATAGGGGTGACTGCAGGTCTGACCTCACCCCCCCCACCAGCATGACCCAGGGAGTGGCCTGCCCCTTTGGCCAATAAGCCAGCCAACTAAGGGAGGCTGAGGGAGTCACAGAATCACCTCTCCTCTGCTCAGCACCTCAGAGCAGACACTCATAACAGTATTTGCTGACGCAGATCAGGCAGGAAAGCTCTGGGTGGAGACCTCACACCTCCCAGGGAGGATGGACACTCACCTGGTGCAGGGGAGACTGGTGCAAAGCTGCCATTGCCTGGTACCTGGGCTTCCTAGGGGTGGTAGGCAGGAGCTAGTCACTTGTGTACTGAGGGAAGAGAGAGGAACACATGGAGGCCCAGACTTGCCCCTTACATAAGCAGCTTCAGGGCCCCACTCGCCCCCATCAGGCCACAGCTGGCCTCCCAGGTGCACTCTGCTGCCTACCTGGGGCTGCCCTGCCATCACTGTACACACAACGCAGGATGCCTCAGTCACCTGCCCCGCCCTGCTCCTGGCACCCAAGCCGTCTAGTTCAGGAGGACAGAGATATACATTCACTTCATATAAGAGAATAAAGACATATTAAGAGTTAAGGAGAAAAAGGAATTTAAAAAAAAAGCCAACAGAAAGAACAGAGAGCAAAGACAGAATACAGAAAGTAAAAAAAAAAAGTACAAAACTAGTGTAAACAAGTCCAGTGGATGGATAATGGCAAATAAGCAGAGGATGAAATTCTCCTACTAGAAGCACAAGACTTTCCAATTAGATACAAAAAAAGCACCTGTGTAACCTAGAATAACACAGAAAGGCTGAATATAATACACACTGGACACTAATTAAAACAAAGCCATAGCACAGTATAGCATGGAGAAGATAAGTAATGGCTCTATAGCATCTTACTATACCAATGGACAGTGACTGCAGTGGGGTGGGGGAGCTGAATGGGCGAATGTTGAAACCACAATGTTGCTCATGTGAACCCTCATAAGACTGCATCAATGATACCTTAATTAAAAAAAAAAAAGCCATGGTAGCTCTCCATCTTTCCTGTACTTCAAAGCTCTTTATTTTTTATTTTTTTATTTTTTTATTTTTGCTATCATTAATCTACAATTACATGAAGGCTCCCCCCTCACTAAGTCCCCCACACACACCCCACTACAGACACTGTCCATCAGCGTCAAAGCTCTTTATTGAAGCATGATATTTATATAGAAGAGTCAGCAAATCCTGAACACATAGCTCAAGGGGCAGTTCACAAAGGACCTATGCCCACAGATGCAGCAGTGAGGTCCACCCTCCTGCCCTACAGGCACTAATTCCTTCCCGGATTCCCAAGGGTAAGTCTCTACTCACACCACACAGATAAGCTATGACTTTGGTGAGCTTTATCAAATGCCATCTACATCCCTCAGTGTGATGCTTGTGAACTACATATGCATTGCTACATGTGGCTTGCTGATATTTAAACCAATTAAAACTGTACTGAGCAAGGGAAACAAAAGCAAAAATGAACAAATGGGACTACATCAAACTAAAAAGCTTTTGTACAGCAAAGGACACCATCAGCAGAACAAAAAGGCATCCTACAGTATGGGAAAATATATTCATAAAAGACATCTGATAAGGGGTTAACATCCAATATATATAAAGAGTTCACACACTTCAACACCCAAAAAACAAATAACCAGATTTAAAAATGGGCAGAAGAGCTGAACAGACACTTCTCCAAAGAAGAAATTCAGATGGCCAACAGGCACATGAAAAGATGCTCCACATCACTAATTATCAGGGAAATGCAAATTAAAAACGCAATGAGATATCACCTCACACCAGTTAGGATGGCCAACATTCAAAAGACTAGGAACAACAAATGCTGGCAAGGATGCGAAGAAAGGGGAACCCTCCTACACTGTTGATGGGAATGTAAATTAGTTCAACCATTGTGGAAAGCAATATGGAGGTTCCTCAAAAAACTAAAAATAGAAATACCATTTGACCCAGGAATTCCACTCCTAGTAATTTACCCAAAGAAAGCAAGATCTCAGATTCAAAAAGGCATTTGCACCCCTATGTTTATTGCAGCACTATTTACAATAGCCAAGACATGGAAGTAACCTAAGTGTCCATCAGTAGATGAATGGATAAAGATGTGGTAGATATGCACACTGGAGTATTATTCAGCCATACGAAGAAAACAAATCCTACCATATTTGCAACAGCATGGATGGAGGTAGAGAACATTATGCCCAGTGAAGTAAGCCAGGTGGAGAAAGATAAGTAGCAAATGATTTCCCTCATTTGTGGAGTGTAACAATGAAGCAAAACTGAAGGAACAATCAGCAGCAGACTCACAGACTCCAAGAAGGGTCTAGTGGTTACCAAAGGGGAGGGGTGGGAGAAGGTGGGTGATGAGGGAGGAAGAAGGGGATTGAGGGGTATCATGATTGGCACACATGGTGTTGGGGGGGGAAACAGGGAAGACAGTGTAGCACAGAGAAGACGTCTAGTCTTCTAGTAAAGCAACATTGTTATACTAGTGACTCTGTGGCACCTTACTACACTGAAGGACAGTGATTTCAGTGGGGTATAGAGGGGAACTTGATAATATGGGTGAATGTAGTAACCGCAATATTGCTCATGTGAAACCTTCATAAGAGTGTATATTATTGATACCTTAATAAAATAAAATTAAATTAAAATTTTAAAAACTGTATCGAAAGCAAAAAACCATTAACAGAAACAAAAATGGACACTGCATATTAACAAAAGGAAAAATCACCAAAGAGAAGTAATCTACCAACAAACTCTCAAAATACCAAAAGTAAAAAAAACCAACCCAAAATAACAAAGCAGCACTGGCAAACCCTCCCCTGGAATGAGAGATTTACCATCACCTACCTCAGAAATGAGTAGAAAAAGCAGGGAATATTTACTTAAAACATAGAGAATGCACATTTTTTTCAAGATGTACACTGAATAGTATTAAAAAAACACCATATACCAGGCAATAAAGACAGTTTCAACAGATTCCAAAAGCTGGTATCATTTGACAAAACATTCTCTGACCATACTGTTGTTATACTAGAAATACATGATAAAAAAGTACCCCAACCCCTCAAGAAAAAGAGAGAAATGGAAACTAAAGTGAAACTGGAAACAAAGAATACCTAAGGAGAAATGTGCATCCTTAATTTTCTTACTTTAATACAAGAGACTGAAGTAACCTAAACATTCAACAAGTAATCAAAGAATAAGAAAGTAATTCAAGGAAAAATAAAAGGAAATAAAGAAAACATGATTTAAAGAAACAGAAAATAATCCCAACGTTGGTGGTTTGAAAATGCTGATAAAATCCATAAACATGTCCCAAAATGGGTAAGGCAGGGAAGAGATGAAAAAGAAAATTCTATTAAGAACAAAAAGGACATAACTCTACATATACCATATATACAATAGTGGTTCTCACAGTATGGTCCCAGGCCCTGGGTTCTAAGCACTCAAGTCTGTTTCCAAAACAATAGGAAAATAACAAAATAGAAATACTAGAGCCAGTGACAAGATGAGGATGTTCCTTCACACTTGTATTCAACACTGTACAAAAGATCCTGACCACCGCAACAAGTAATAGAAAAAGAAATCAGCCCATGGTGATTGGAAGAGAATAGAAGAAATTGCCATTACTTAAGAAAGGTAAGTCAGCTACATAGAAAAGTCAAGAGTACCAACCCACTGTTGGGATAAGAGTTCAGCAGGACTGCTATATAAAGGTCAATATAGACTAGTAAGTAGTGCTACATACTAGCAGTCAGCAATCAAAAATTGGCACTCACAACAGCTACAAAACTATACAATGCCTAAAAAGTTTAACAAAATACATGTTAAGTACTTTATGGACAAAATGATAAAAATTAATGAAGGACATTAAGAAGAATTACAGAGAAACAATGTTCATAAACAGGAGAACTCAGTACCATAAAAAATTCTCCTCAAATGAATCTATTGATTCTGTGCAGTAAAAACTACAACAGAAATAACATAAAATCTAACAAAATGACTCTAAACAGATGAACCAAGGCAATGCGAAGAAAGAACTAAGGTGGGCAAAAAGAGTATGCCCTACCATATACCGACTTAGTGTAAGGCTGCAGTGGTAACAGTGAGGTAATACACTTAGGGAAGAAGACATGGAACAGATCCCTAATACATCAATGATACACCTATCATTTGCTAAGGGTGGTACACCATCCAACAAATGGTGCTGGCACAAATGACTTCCCACAGGCAAGTAAAGTAAACCCCTGCCTCCTATAGCACACAAAACACATTTCAGGTGGATTTTATAAACAGGAAAAAATGTTTATAGCTATTATAAGAAAATAAAATGCAAAAAACAGTCCACAAAGGTCTTAATTTTACTCCCTCAAAATAATCTTCTGTATGAGACAACACACAATTAAACGACAAGCAGCAGAGTGAAAGAAGATATTTGCAAATATATGTGAAAGATATACAGAATAAAAAATATATATATATATATGCAGAATATATTTAAAAATACAAGAAAAAAAAGACAATTTAATAAAAAATGAACATAGGATGTGACCTAGTAAATCACAGATAAAGAAATCAAACTGAGGGTGATCTGGCTGCAACATCTGTCACCCCATTGATCACTACGGTTGACTCGGCTATCTGGCTGGCTAGGTGGGTGAACCCTTCCTCCCTCCGTGTGTGTCCCTCTGGAAGCTGCGTGCTCACTTGAAGAGGACTGCCTTCCCTGAGGAGGATCATTTTTCAGCCAAGGGTGTACGAGTAGCTGCACTCCCCTGCTGGAACCTCCAAACAATCCCCCAAGAAATCATACTGTCCAATAAACATCTGAAAAGATTTTCAATGTCATTCCTTAAGGGAATGTAAATGAGAACAAGACTTCTCTGCCCATAGTTGGGATAAACATAAAAGGCTTCAGAATATCAAATGTTGAAGACATGAGGAAACATGGAGACTCTGTGAGTCCTAAAGGACTATGATCTGGTACAGTCACTCTGGAAATCCACCTGGCACTACCTGGTAGAGTTGAAACCCTGCAAACCCTCAGTCAGGTATGTGCCCTATAGAAACGCTTGCTAAGAATGCACATACACACCATCCAAAAGACAAACAACAAATGTTGGTGAGGATGTGGAGAAAGGGGAAACCCTCCTACACTGCTGGTGGGAATGTAAATTAGTTCAACCATTGTGGAAAGCAGTATGGAGGTTCCTCAGAAAGCTCAAAATAGAAATACCATTTGACCCAGGAATTCCACCTCTAGGAATTTGCCCTAAGAATACAGCAGTCCAGTTTGAAAAAGACAGAATCACCCCTATGTTTATTGCAGCACTGTTTACAATAGCCAAGAAATGGAAGCAACCTAAGTGTCCATCAGTAGATGAATGGATAAAGAAGATGTGGTACATATACGCAATGGAATATTATTCAGCCATAAGAAGAAAACAAATCCCACCATTTGAAACAACATGGATGGACCTAGAGGGTATTATGCTCAGTGAAATAAGCCAGGCAGAGAAAGACAAGTACCAAATGATTTCACTCATCTGTGGAGTATAAGAACAAAGAAAAAACTGAAGGAACAAAACAGCAGCAGAATCACAGAACCCAAGAATGGACTAAAAGGGAAAGGGACTGGGGAGGATGGGTGGGAAGGGAGGGACAAGGGGGGGGAAAGAAAGGGGGCATTACGATTAGCATGTATAATGTGGGGGGAGTCACAGGGAGGGCTGTGCAACACAGAGAAGACAAATAGTGACTCTACAACATCTTACTGCTGATGGACAGTGACTGTAATGGGGTTTGCGGGGAGGACTTGGTGAAAGGGGGAGCCTAGTAAACATAATGTTCCTTATGTAATTGTAGATTAATGATACCAAAATAAAATAAATAAATAAGTTTAAAAAAAAGAAAAGAATGCACATACACACACAAAATGTTACCACATGCCTGTTTACAAGAAAAAAAAAGGGAAACCAGCTCAATATCTGTCTTTGGGGAACAAAGTCAAAGTAGTACCACATCAATGACATGGAGACAGAAAACCTACAAGGTTGAGTAAAACCTTTAAGTGTAGAATATCGGTAGCATGATATGGGTGTAAATTTTAAAATACAACAATACTGGTAGGTACATAGAGGTATAAGAAAATAAGCTGACAACAAAAGTAAAAATCAACAGCGTGAAAAGGCACTTAAGGAATGGGAGAAAGTATTTGCAAATCATAGATCTGATAAGGGGTTAAAAATCTAAAACATAAGTAACACATGCAACTCAACAGCAAAGATACCAAATAACCCAATACAAAATGGGTTAAGAACCTGAACAGACATGCCTCAAAAAAGACAAATAACCAATAGATAACGTGAAAAGGTGCTCAACATCACTGATATTGAGGGAACTGCAAATAAAACCACAACAAGGTATCACCTCACACCTGTTAGACTGACTGTCATGGAAAAGCAAAAGATAATGTCAGTGAGAAGGTAGTGAAAAGGGAACCCTTGTGCAT